AAAATGCCAACACCTGAGATAGGAGAAAAATAACCATTACTTGATCATTTAGGTTTTATGTTAGAATAAAACCCTGGCTAGCTCGACTAATAGGGGGGAGTCCTGGTCTTGTGAGCTGAATGTACAGACCATGACATTCGGTGTGCTCTACAATACTGCATATCGGTGCGAGGGTGCGCCGCACGATTGATGTTATGTTCTAGGTTGTATTAAATGACAATATATACGTGATTGCTTATGATGCTAAACAGAGCTCCGTCATAAAGAAGTAGTGCTCTTGCCAAGAACATTAGGGCATTCCAGCAGTATTGTTTTAACCCTATTGATGAAACCTGCAAGGCCAAAACTGGTGGTGTAGAGTTTTGATAGCTTAAACAAATGCCGTCGGATAACACTGGCCTGGAAATCCATATGTTATTGGGTTAAAATGTATTTTAATTGGAGAGACAAATGGAAGTTTCTCTAATTACCCATAATTAGCCACAACAGTGCTTCAAGAGTTATGCAATTTTCTAGAGAGGTGGTTATTCCCAAAAACGTATTTTTGACTCTCAACCTGGTATGCGATAAAATAATTTTCGTTGCACGCTCTGGAAGAGTGATTGTTGCCGTCTGTTCAGAGTGGCGAGTCAGGTGGCTGCCTTGGACCTGGGCTACAAGGCGGGCGTGGACGCTGTCCGTAAGAACCCTCCCAAGGTGCTGTACCTGCTGGGGGCTGATGGGGAGACTGTGACGCGTGCACACCTGCCTAAGGGCTCCTTCGTCATCTATCAAGGTGAGAGCCCCAAACTGTGATGCCTTCAAAAATAACTTGGGGTCATTTAAACCAAATATCCCAGGATTTGATATACAGTGGACTCTCGATTTGTCCGCGTGCGGTTTATCCGATTTGCAGATTAACTGCGCACCTGAGATTTTGACGTAAATTAATAACTCGTGGATTTTCTCTGATGCCCAAATTAATATTCTAAAAAAGTTTTACATTGTTATTCTTGGAAATGTTTGTTACAAGTCATGTGCTTAAACCCCAAAAATATGTGCTCGAGTTAATCCGAAATCCACGTGATCGCCTCTACAGTAAGGTACACCAGTTGCATATCTTTACAATAGTGGGCGGAGTTTGATTGATGTTGATTGACGTGGCTCTGCTGCTTTCCACTCAGTAGGCCGAGTCTTCTGCGCGGGAGCAGGAAATTTTTATAACTGAGCACGCGCATCGATCGGTTGATCGTTAGTTTTTGGCATAGAGATCCGTGGAAAAAGGATATTTTTGGATTTTCCGCGGCCGTCCTCCCCATCATTAGCACGGATAATCGAGAGTCTACTGTACCTTGTATCGTGCTACTGTTGATTTATTGAATGCTGTTTGGTGGGGAGAGGTAGGGATTGGCTCTGCGTATGTGTGATTGGCCAATGACCAAATTAGCCTGAATGCTCCCAAACTCTCATTGTATGTCGGAAGCTAAGCTGGTTTGAGCCTGGAGAGCATTTGGATGGGTAACTATCACAAGCAGATTGTCATAAGACTTGCGGAGCAAGTGCAGTACAACAACATTCATCATTGAACTCCAATTGGATACTCCAGCATGCCTTCACCAACCCCGTACTGACCAGCGTGCTGACGTATGCTCAATCCTTACGACTAAGCACGTCTAGCAGTGGATTTATTCAAGGACTGTACTTGTACATACTCGATTGGCTTTGGAATCCCAGAGTTATTTCCAGCACCCCATAACGCACACGCCTTCCTGTATCGACTGTGGTGAACACACCCACCTCTGCCCCCTCTCTGTGTTGCCACAGGCCACCACGGGGACACGGGTGCCCCCATGGCCGACGTAATCCTGCCCGGCGCGGCCTACACCGAGAAGACGGCGACGTACGTCAACACAGAGGGACGTGCCCAGATGACGCACACGGCCATCACGCCACCCGGCATGGCGCGCGAGGACTGGAAGATCATCCGCGCACTCTCGGAGGTGGGGGCTTAGTCGGTGATGGCTCGTGGGACTGATTGGATTGGTGAGGCTGCTGGGGTTTGGTGAGGTTCGTGGGATTGGTGAAGCTTTGGAGGAGCTCGTAGGGTTGGTGGGGCTGTTTGGCTTGATGACGAGGCTGGTTGGTGACTTGACCTACGTGACTTTACCGAATAGAACCAAAGAGTATGGATCCTTGCAGTCACGAAAGCTTCAAATCTAGAATTGTGGTCTGAGGGTTGACTAAATTGGTGGGCTGTTTGGATTCATGTGCCTGGTGTGGCTTGTGGAGCTCATGCAGCTGGTATGGATGGTGGGGGTTTGTGCCATAGCTGTGTTTTGTGCAGCTGGTGTGCTTTGTTTGGATTGGCTTTGTTAGTGGGACTGTTTGATTTTTTTGGCTGTGTGGGGGTTGGTGTTCATATACAGGGTGCTTAAAAGAATGTTAACACTTATATGGGACTATCGTTTTTAATGGAAAAAGAACAGATAGTATACTGTTACATGATAACAAATGTATGCTAATAGCTTCAAAAATTCAGAATATCCACTTGTTTGCCATCATTGTCAACGCATGCCTGGAATCTTCTCCAGGTGGTCTCCAGACAGAGACCAGAGGCACATTTGTGGTATTGTTCCAAATTCTCAGAAGTGTTAACATTTTTTAAAGCACCCTGTATTGTTAGGGCCGTTATGTATGGTGTGTTGGTGTGGGTTTGGTGTGACTAGTGCAGTTGGTGGGAACTCGGTGGTTGTTATAGCAGGTATAGTTGCAGGGTTGGTGGCTGGTATAGCTGGTGTGGCTGATGGTGGGTCTGATCGGGCTGACAGTGGTTGGTGGCTTTAGTTGGGCCGGTGGGGTCTGGATGCCGGATGGGATTGGTGTGGTCTCGTCAAGCCGCCGAAACCGGTGGTTCCTCTAAACCTTGGAAAACGCCGGCTTCCCCGACACCCCTGGGATTGACGTGCGGCAGGTGGCCGAGATGACCCTGCCGTACGACTCGCTGAAAGAGGTGCGGAAGCGTCTGGCCGAGGTGTCCCCCAACCTGGTCCGCTACAACGATGTGGAGGAGGCAAACTACTTCACTCAGGCGACCGAGATGGCCAAGGTCTGTCTCCTCTGGCATTCCATAGTTCACCTTATGCACCCAAGAATAAGGATTTTGTGCTTATTTTGCGCTTGAATGCAAAGCATCAATTAATACAATATATTGCTGTGTTGAAAAAAAATTCCGTGTGTCATTGCACAAGACGTGCGTTTGTTTTACGAGTCCCTGGAAACTCGACTGAATTTTAAGATATAAGTTCAACAAAGGTTACAAGTCAGAAATAAGATGGTAAAACAATCCCAAGTTCCACATGAGACAACTCGAGGCTGACTTGCTGCCCCTATTTCAAAGTGTGACATTTCACTCAATGCCCTGTTCTACCATATAAAATATTAAACTGGTGAAATGTATACCATTTACAGTTTATAGAGTCTAAATGCCCAGTGCATTGCAGTCTTCTATTGTTTGATGTGGTGTTAGATGCAAACCTTCGTTTTGCCCGCATGCATTGTGTATTGAAAGTGTGTTGAACCATGTCCATTGCCTCGTATCACTGGGGGCTGATGTTGTATTGTCTGCTTGCAGCTGGTGAACCACGAGCTGTTAAATGAGCCCCTGCAGCCTCCACAGCTGACATTGAAGGACTTCTACATGACAGGTCATTGTTGCAATGTGTTGTCGTTACACTTATTAACAATAATCATTGTGCTACTGAAATCAAAAGGAGAGTAATGCAATTGCAGGTATTTTACAGGTTTGTCGTATAGCACGGTTGGCTACGTATGGCGTGAAATAAGTTGTACATACATAAACACATAAGGTGGTTTGTGTAGTGCAGAGCAGTAGAAGTTAATTTATGCACGTGCCACACATGCCGAAGCACAACTCACTCGTAACGCACCATGTATATTCATATTACCACACTAAAGCACATTCATACGCCCCACCCATACTCACACACTACTCGCATGCAAACTGCATTCCACACTCACCTACTTAAACACACTAATACACATTCATGCACATTACTCACCCACAAGCAGATATTCACATTGCTTTCCTCCACACACAATTTTTTTAACACACTACTCGCCTGTATACACATGCACCTATTCACCACACATGAACTTCTGTTTGTGCGTGTTCTTTCTCGCAGACTCCATCAGCCGGGCATCCCAAACCATGGCGAAGTGTGTGAAGGCGGTGTCGGAGGGAGTCAGGGCTGTCAAGGAGCCCCTCTGAGCAAACGGCAAAAAATAAAAAAAATTGTCCACCGCAATGGATGGACTAATGGCGTCACTTGGAGATAGAGGCTGAGCCTCCCTTGTTACACCATTGTGGGTGGATGTTTAGCTTCTTGCTAGGGATGATAAGCGTAAACCGAGCTGATTTATTGTTTAGGCTGGTCTCCATTTTACAGCACTTGTGACGCTGGTAAAAATAAGTGTGGTCCCTTCTAAAAAATATCAACCACGCACATAGTCCAAGGTAATAACCACGTCTCTTGCATGGTCATCCACGTCTGTAAATGGCGTTAATTAAAATGAAAAGAGCTTTTGCTGTGACTGTATACTGGCACAAGTACCTTTACGCTGTTGTAGAGTGCTTGGTTGTCTCCGTTATAAATAAAGCCTACTCGTCTAAACACATACGATTAATTGTCAAGTTATTTTAAACGTTAACGGTGTACCCCAACAACGCATTACACATTAAGAGTAGCGTATGATACTCGATAAGGAAAATTAAAATTACATTTTAACACGATATATGTATCGTGCATGGTATAAACATATAAAGTGTGCACATTTTCGGGCAATGTATATTGAGCAAATAGGTGCAGAATTAAGATGAGAATGAGATGGTGCAAATCGAACATTTGACTTCCAAATTGCCAGACCTTGCTTGAATTGTGACATCATTGAATCTCAAGGTGAATCATAACGTTTACCATAAAAATGACCCTCGCACCACTGAATATTATCTGTGATATTTATTCACGTTATATACAGATGTTACAGCATTTGTACACTGGAAATTCTTTACAGTCGTAAACTCGGGGATGAACATCAACAGCTTTACAGGACTTTTTAAAAAGTGTGAAATTACACAATCTAAACGCTACAGCAACGGTTTTTAATATACATTCAAAAATACACCGAGAAACACTAGTCACTGACCCGACCAGCCTGCAATCTCACAATTTGTAAAGGCAAGTGTTTTAAGGAAGGGGGTGTATGCTGCAGAAAGTAACCGTGACCATTAAAGTGTGCATTAATTTTGACGTGCGAGTTGGGTGAAATAACGGGAAAGAAAGAAAAGCTTTTTTTTTCATGAATGCTTAAGTGAACATCTAAAGCTTTAACTTCCCAAAAGGGTGTGGGAGAGGCGGGGGAAAAAAAGTATTTGCATTTGCTTTATTTGATAAAAAAAAATTCCATTGGTTTTAATTCAGCACCACAAACCCTTCCAAACAACACTTGCGAACCGGTGCAAAGGTTACAGGCCTCACAACGTGTGACCTGCCCCTGCACCGGTGAACTTTTACCAGAGGAAGTGAAACGCTCCACGCGAAACCCACCGCGAGGCTGCGCTCGTTTTCGAGTGATGCCAACGTGGCGCACCTCCACCCAGAAGTAAAACCGCGTGCGCGCCTCCCAAACCGCCGACGATTAGGTAGAATCAGTTATGAAAACCTGATTGCCATCACAGATCTGTAACGCGAAGTGTGGTTTTGGATTCTGAGTGTAGGAAAGAGGACAAAGTGCATTTTTCAAAAAACGAAAAAAATCGAACAAATAATAAAAGCGATCATTCATGGCTTTCAGTTTCATGTAATTGGTTTGTCGCAGTAAACATGAGCATCTGAGGTTATTTGACTAACAATGCCTTTGCTAGGGCCATGAAACAGGGCAATTGAAGTGGCACATACCACCACCACCTATATACACACGCACGTATCGCTTGTCGTTGAAGTACACGGTGGGCTTGGAATCTAAGAGAACAATTACCGTTTGTGGGGGCAATGGGGAAAGGGTATAAATTCAAACTATAAACGGCATGGGAACTTACAATTGTTATTGGCCGTTTCTTACCTAAAGCACAGCCGGCGTGTCTTTGAAGCAATTTACCTTTGCCCTGTATTCAATCCCCTGCCGACATTTTTCATGCCATGTCACAAATTGTAGGAAGTGTCGCAAGCTTAGATCTTTTACTTCAACACCGCGCACAAGAAATATACATTTAGTTAAGTGTCAAATAAATAGAGCAGTAAAAAATAAATTGGCTGGTAACAGTAAGACAAAACAATTGGTCGTTTTAAATCAAACTTCAGTTTCTGCCCAGTTACCACTAACTGCTTATTTCCAAAAAGGTCACACGTAAAAAAAGCTTAGCACACATTTTTTTCCTGATTATCTTCTATTCAAAAACGTGTCAGCACAGTCAACAATCACCTCATATACAAGTGTACAGCAATGATTTAAACGGACAATTTTTTGTGTTTTATTTTTCTCCTTTAAATCTGGATCATTTAGAATAGAATACAATGCGTACAATACAATCTCACTGACAAAAGACGCAACTTAATATTCCTAAGTCACCCGGCCTCGCCAATTCACAAAACGCCACGTTCACAGTGCGTCCTTCGCTCTGTGGCAATGTCTTTTGAGGGCAGTGGACAATTTGTTGAATAAAAAAATAGGTCGCTTTACAGGATAATTATATTAACAGCACGACCTTTACCAGGTGAGCATTCCAATAAATCTGTATACCTTACACTTGTATTTCATCATCGACAAGCAACCACGAAGATTTAAAAATGGTGCACCTTGCAGGAGTCCCAAGTGTTCATAAGTACCACCGGTCTTTTGCCATCGCACTGGCATTGGTGTACAACTACAAATGAAAACTACCATCAAATTAAGTTAGTGATACATATTATGACTCGCCCTCTTCAGGCGTTCTCCGTTTGTGACGATTGAGTTTCCTGCTGAACGCAGTCTGGACACTCGACGCAGGTACTTCCTCACGGGCATTACGAGTGGCACGCACAACCAACCCCAAAGCTCTGCCCTCTTGTTTAAATCGGCAGAACGCAACTGCGCACCGTTCAACATGATCATTTATGGGATAAACAAAAACAACTTTTGAGCTTGGTTTTATTTGAGATTCCACCCTTTTGAGTGTGGGTTTAATTTTTCATTTGTAGTGCTTCGACTTTACTGAGATAAACACTGACAACCATGCACAATCGCACAACTAAAAAATACACTTGGTTCAGAACAGCTACTGCGTACACAAGTGTCTTGGCCTCTTGTTGGGTCTCACCAGCAGTACAGCTGCTATATGGTCATACGCACACAACTGTTTATAACCCGTTAATAACCCGTTAAATGCCCATACTGAAGTTTTAGTTGAGAGAAAATTAAAAATTGTCAGTTACCTTTATCCCATCGTTCACAAAGCTCATTAAGAGACAAGATAATTCTGGTTGACCATTTACAAGTTTACCTACCCTTAATAATTTACAGTCCTTTATCAATGCAGTGCTGGATGAAGAGGCATCCCCACGATGTTGTTTGACCATACTTCACACTGGCTCGTGTGGGTTGGTAAAAGGTGGGGGGGGGGATTGCTTCAGATTACCACTCGGCACTAATTTCATCTGTGGCTGAGAATCAAAATAAGGTGGCCGGGGTCATAACCACTGCGCTTCAGTTCTTTCCCTTACACATTACTTTTTACATAGATACACGTGCACAGCAAAGATCTTCTGATAAATTATTTCTGTAAGTGCTCTTCCGATATGTTTGTCAGGTGGCATGTACACATGCCAAATAGTACAATGTGGTCAAACTGGTGCACCGTAAGGGTTGTCTCAGTGGCCAACTCACACCGATAACCCACCAACATTTCCGGCCGTTTGTAACTGTGGCATACAGCTGGCTATGTCTGGACGTGACACAAGCACTTTGGTGTCCTAACATATTAATGACTGTCAGTGAGCCAACGTGGGCCAAGCATTACTGGATGGCAATTAATACTATATAGCAGGAGGTGGGAAAGATTCCTGGCTTAATTGTAAAATCCCCAAAATCCAACCGTACTGCATCATGAACTTCAACACCGCTCGTATATGCTTCCCACACCCACTCCCTTTACCAGGCTTGCATATTATGCCAAGACAGAGTTTGGAGAAAAAATAACCCTCCCAAAATATTGTTACATTCTAAGATCCTTATACACTTTTGTAACTATAAAGTCACACACACACACCTCGCACACACTTGTTCATCACAGCTTTCCCTGTCATGACTCACCTCACTCTGCACTCAAATGCCAATGGCTGCCGCACAACTTTTCAAATCGCCTACTTAGCGTTTCACCACCGATTTGCAAATCTCCAGAGCTGCATCCTCCGTCCGCCAAGATCCACCACTGCTTTTTCCCCGCAAAACCCAAGCAATGCCCGAGCGGCGTACGTTTCTTTATTATTGTTTTTTTGCCAGTGGCTGTCAGCGTCACAGTGCTAGGAGTAAGAGTCGTTGCGTTTCACAAGCGTTCGCAGCCATGAGTCACGATTTGCCCTGCGATGGCGATGTGGGAGGCGGGGGAGAGGTGGAGGAAGGTGGTCGTGGAGGTACCGTGGGAGGCATCGCGTTGATGGTGCTGCCGACACCGCCGTCGCCACTGCCGCCGGAGTTCGACAGTGTCGAGGCGGTCGTTGAGTGAGCCAACGGTGGCACAACCGAGCATAGCGGCTGCACATCTTTGGGAATCCCACCTCGGCCACTCGACAACTGCGAGCCAAATGCTGCGCTGAACTGTGGCAGTTTATGCTGTTGCTGCGCAAGTGACGAGTTCCAACTTCCTGTCTGCTGCTGCTGCTGCTGCAGCAGCTGCGCTTGCGTCTGCAGTTGCGCACTTTGCGCAGAGTTCGAAAGAGGTGCTGTCCCCATGCTGGCCACGGCCGCTGCAGTCGCCAAGTCCTGCCCAGCGCTCGTGCCGGGGGAGCTCAGCACCTGCCCGGTTGCATGCGCCTGAGCGAGTGGCCCCAGCGGCGATGCCGCCAGCTCTGCCGTGAGCAGAGCGGGCGACTGAGCCGCCGCCCCTGTGGTGCCGCTCGCGGAGAATGGGGAATGCGTGGTGACATCAAGAGCCTGCGGGAGACAGTGCGCGCCGGTTGACGCTAGCGTCTGAACGAGGCTGGTGCCGATGGGTGCGGGGATGCCGTCCGGGGAGTACGTGAGCATTGTGGACGCCGTGCATGGCACCGCCCCGTCCTGCGCCGCCCCTGCGGCAAACGCACTAGCGTCGGTTAACACCAGCGACCCCCAGGAGGGCGACCTCTGCATTACCAGCCCAGCGGTGGTGGTGGTCACAGTGCCGGGGGGTACGGACAGCGACATGGAGGGCGGCAGCGAGTGTCCCAGCATGGCCTGCGATTCCTCGCTCCCCGTAAATTGGGTCGTGACAGCGACCGTAACTCCGCTCACCGACGCCGGCTCCTCACCACTGTCGATGCCAATGAATGGTGACGGTACTCGCTCGCTGCCGAAGAGGGAACTATCCTGCAGCGGCGACTGCACCGATCGCTCACCGCTTCCGCCGTCACCGACAAAACCGGCTGGTATCAGCGGCGGAGGCGTTGACGACGATGCTTGACCGTCTGGCTTAACAAGCAGCGGCCTTGCGGGCAGGAGCGGCAACGTCTGGAAGGACGGCATTTGTGGCGAAAAGTGCGTGATGACAGACACACCGCCACAGTCCTGCTGATGTTGGTGGTGGAGCTGCTGGTGGGGGTGGTGCTGATGGTGGTGGTGCTCCAGACCCAGGCTCAGCTGCGTTGCCGCGGCCGCCGCCGCCGCCACGACAGCACCGGCGCTGCCGAAGTGCTGCTCGAGGTCGAGGGCGGAAAAGGAGTCGGCGGCGATGGTGCCGCCAAGCAGCTCGTGCAGGTCGGGGTTGAAGGAGCCGAGGTCGTCGCTGGCCACGAGCTCCTCATCGTCGTCCATGGAGCCCAGGTGCTCGAGGGAGGTGACGGCGTGCGATGCCGCCACCAGCGCCCGCTCCAGCGCCTCCGCCTCCTCCTTGGTCGGGAGCAGCTCGCCATTCTTGCCTGTGCAAAGGGACAAGAAATGTGTCGGGTGTTTTACAGATTCGCCGAATCTTCACTCAAACTAGATCGTTATATTCGTAACACAGGGCTGCTGTCGTGTAATGGTTGGCAACTGGACTTCGATTTAATCTCCTGGCACGGCATTAAAACATTGTGCTAGTTTCCCGACACCCCCCCTCTCACACCCCCCACCCCGCCTGTCTACCTATCAGTATAAATGGGTACACCACAGTAAGTCAATCGTCAGGTGTCGCCGCGGTGGAAGAGTCGACCCAATGCCCTCTAGTGGAGGCAGGGCCTTGTGCCAGCAGGGATGCACTTTTACCTTTACTAAAAATACGTAAAATTTTGATTTAAAGCTTTCGTGACTGCAGGGATTCATATTCTTGGTTCTTTCGGTAAAGTCACGTAGAAGGGAAACAAAATAATAAAAATATAATACAATATATTTTTTATAATACAATATATTTTTATTATTTTGTTTCCCTTCTACGTGACTTTACCGAAAGAACCAAGAATATGAAAATACGTATTTAAAAATCGAATTGTGTGCAATAATCAACTATTAACGGCCCATCAGATCTCAGCAACAGAGCAGAGCTGAGCATGGATAGTGCTTGGCCGGGTGACCACAGTTCATTAAAACAGGTGTTGTAAGGCTGCTTTGGGATATATCGTCAGCAAAGGGCAGTGCAGCAAAATCCAATGTTGTACTGTTTGTACTATGCTCAAATGCCTATGCTCACCACATTCGTACTGTACTGGCCAGCATGGTGAAATATGTTCAAACAAACATATAGCGCCGCAGTGGTCAGATGTTAATTACCTCGCCTGGTACACAGGAGCTTCTGGTTTCGATCCCGATCCAGATGCTTGTATATTTGGAGTTTGCATATTCTCCCCGTGGTTGCATGGATTTTTATCCGGGTCTTACGGTTATTCCCTCCACATTTAGATTCAACATGCGTTCAGAGTATTTCGCTGCTATAAGTTTCCACATGATAAGCCACTTCATTGCGCTACCATTCGTGGCAAGGTCACTTCTGAAAAAAGAGCTATGTAACTCATTGGGTCTTATCTGGTAAAATTGTTTAGTTTTAGTTAATATGTAGTGGGTACAGCGGGAGAGCGAGGCTTCTTGGAGGCAACACGTTAATTTCAACATTAATTAACACGAGGGGTAGCTGCCCCTTCCACCAGGTAACTGGGAGAGTGGTCTCTCCAGGCTAACTATCCCTAACGCGACTGGGGGAAAGGGAGCTGTCAACCGGACTCCGACTCGAGTCCTGGTCTGGACCCTGGGGCTTCTTCTTCAGGAGGACGTCTTCATGTCTTCAGACCAGCAACCACCGCCGGACCCGCTCAGGGATCTGGCTTATATCCCCAGTCCCGGGGCCTCCCCCGCCCTTAGGCCCACCTCCCTTTTCGACCTTTCCAGAGGCCCCTGGAACCGGTTCCGAGGTACCCAGCCCCCCTCTTTGGGGCCCCACCCCCGGTACCTCCGGCCACTAGCCCTCCGGGTTCATCCGGAGTGCCATGGCCCCGTCACTCCCGGCGCTCTCGCCCCCGAGCCTCGGAGGGCTGACACTGCACAAGGAGTGCACGTTGCACACTGCTGTGTTGTAGATGGTGTGAGCAGCCTGTCCCGTGCTTTACACGTGGGCCGGCCCAACGTGGCATGCAGTGGCATCCCCCGATGCCACTACACATAGTTTGGGGAGGCCTTGATCCTGACGTGGGATTATAAAAGGCTGTAAACTAATATTATAATGGCGTGATAGATATTGATCTAGACCCGTTCGAAGGCATTGCATTTACAAGCCTCCTCCAGCTCACGCTACCTTCGAAGAGGTCAAAGTCGTGCAGGTCCACGTGCAGTTTCGGCAGCACCTCGTCCAGGTCCTCTTGGTTTAGCTCCAGCTCGTCCGACAGCTCCGGGGCGATGTCATCCTCCTCCACGTCTCCACTCACCGGGCTGTGGGGGATCCGGGGGGTGGGGTGTGGGAGAATGGCGCCACGGTGGCGAAATGTTAACCACCTCGCCTGGTATACAGGAGGTCGTGGGTTCGAACCCAACCCTGACGCCTACTGTACATTTGTAATTTGCGTGTCTCTCTCCCTGTGGTCGCGTGGATTTTTCTCCACGTTCTCCGGTTTTTCCCTCCACATTTAGAAACATGCGTTGAGAGTATTTTGCTACTATTAATTTATACATAAGCCGCTTTGTTGAGCTATTATGTGTGGTCAGGTCACTTCTGAAAAAGAGCTATATAGCTAAGTAGGCCTTACCTGGTAAAATAAAAATTGTTGAGTATTTGAGTTTATGAGGAGTAGTTGCAGTAAAGGTGCAGCCCTGCAAATGTCACTGTTGACAGAAGGATCTCCCATCAGAGGGAGCTCTCAGGAGCCCTCCAAATGTAATTTTCGTCGACTCTGCCACGCTGGTCAGATGTCTTTGAAGGTGGAAGTACCCACACTTTACCCCGCCACACGCGGCCTGCCGATTGACTGTGGTGCACCCACGTATACACTGCTGGGTTGACAAAAAGCCGGCAGACTCAATAAACTTGCCCACTGTTTCAACTGACACTCCAGGAGATCAAATTGAACCGGCTCCCCCCCTCTGGCTTGCAAGTCCAGTGTGTTAATAATTACACCATGGCAGTGGCAGATCTGAAAGGCAAATAGATAAGAGGGGGGGGGGGCGTTGATTCACGCCTAACTATTTACCATGTGCTTTAATCGCAAGCTTGCCATACACAATGCACCGTGCACATGCGAAGGGAACCATAGCAGGAAATATTAATACATCACTGTATAGTGTTAATATTTATTGGAATATTTTTTTTCCATTGCAGGGGTGGAGTGATAGTTCCGTGGTTTACACACTTTCAGATGTACTTCTGCGGCTGTCTGGAATGCTCTTCCTTAGGATATTACGACGCCACTGGAGTTATGCACTTTTAATATAGATTGAAAACTCGTTACTTTAGAACTGCCTTTGTGTTCAGTTTGTTGTCCTTCCCCCACACCTTCGATTAGCGCGGTTGGTTACGTACAGTGTGAAAGAAATTCAACATACATCAGATTGGCTAAATAAGGTGCGAAGAAAGTTCAACATTCCTACATACATCCAGTTGGCTACGTATGGTGCGAACGAAGTTCAACATGCAACCACAAGTAGCAATCAATAAAAACACACTCATTTTGGCGCTTCGGGCAAAGCGTACCTTAGGCGTGCCACACAAGGAATACTACTCTGGGTGCTTCGGGCAAGGCATACCTTAGGCGTGCCACACAAGGCATGCTAATCTGGGTGCTTCGGGCAAAGCGTACCTTAGGCGTGCCACACAGGACGGCTCTGTGACGATGGGTGTGGAGGGTGGCGGAGTGGCCGCCGGGATGCACAGGTTGCCCTGCGGCTCGGCGGGAGGGATGGGTTTCTGGGGTCGCATGGTCGGGCGCCGCCGCTTCTTCTTGTGCTTCTTGCTGAGCGCCGGCGGTTTTGACTTCTTACGTGGTTTCCGCTGCTGCTGTTGCTGTTGCTGCGCCTTCCGGCTCCAATCTCCGCGTAGGAAGTTGTCCTGGGGAAAGATGAAAAGCTTTTTTTTTTTAATGATTTATTCATGCTGTTGACGTTTTAATAGGATCAATCAGGCATGTGATGATACGTCACTTTGCCATTTGACATTATTACATTAACGATGCTGGCCAAGATATAAATGCATCTAACTGTATTTCCGCACCTCCGATTAGCATGATTGGCTACGTATGGCGCGAAAGAAATTCAACATACATATGATCTCCAGATATCGTACAGAAAAACAGGGCATGCATATTACAGTGAAAAAAGGTAGTTGCTAATATAAATGTTTTGACTAACATTATAATGAAATCAGGGCATGCATATTACAGTGAAAAAAGGTAGTTGCTAATATAAATGTTTTGACTAACATTATAATGAAATCATGATGCACATACGGTGAGGTGAGTAGACAAAAGTTGCAACATGTAAAATATCCACCAAACGTAAAACTCCTATAAGTTAGTTGTGTTTGCATTTACTTTCTTATAGGGTCACCAGGAAAAGTCTGTAGACAACCCGGACTATCATTTTATGCAGGTTATCATCAGATAGATGATTAAGGATGGTCCAAACATCTGCATCGTTTGGATGAGTACGACAATTTGTAAGGCAGTGAACTGAAACATGAAGAGAATATAGGACACAGGAAGCAGAGAGATATGGAGAGATACGATCAACAAAGATTTAAAGAGAGGATGATGTGGCCAAGTCGACTGATTGTTGCCCGACGTATAGTACAGCACAGGACTCGGCTGAAGGCGTTACACCGAGTCCTCTTTACGACCAATGATACACATCGATGTGTATATTTTTTTTTATAAATAACATTTACAATTATAAATGACAGGAACCAGAGAACGGCTTTATGACGTTAGAGATTGGGGCCAGAAAGATGTGGCACTACTTGAGCAGCATTGGCACGAGAACAAGAGGGAAAGTGGAAACCAATGACGAAACGTGCAGTGGACACCTACGGGCCATCTGCCCATGGATCGAGACGATGACGATGATGACGATGATGATGAATTACACGTGCATACAGGCGGTGGCGAAAACAACGATGGTGGCGGCGACGGAAGAATGCTGACCATGCTGGCGGGCCGGGGCCGCGCACGCACCATTTTCTTGGCGTGCTCCTCGCACAGCGGCGTCTGGTGCACGATGTCGAACACAGGCACGGAGCACTGCTGCCCGTCGGCGAAGCGCGCCGTGCAGCTGGAGAAGAGCCGCTGCGAGCTGCTGCACAGGATATCTGGGCCCCACGCAGTTGAGCGTCAAGGAGCCAGCCCCCGCTTGCCGAGATGACGGCGTCAATTACGTTCTGGCGGAGCGTGCGCCAGTTAAATTCAAGAGGCTTCAGAGTTGCCCACCCGTCGGGTGGAATGCAGTGTGGCCGCGTGTTAAAAGGGGCGACGATGTAATCGCGTGATACAGTGTTGCTGTGCATTATGATGCTGTAGTGGAGATAATGTTAAAGCGGCGGGAGAGTTGTGGTAAGAGGCTGTAGCCCTTCAGTGCTAGGAGGGTTGTAGCAGTCTGGTGACCACCTGTGTCAAGGGGATGTACTGTGACTTCTTAAGCAGCTGCAATGAGTATAAAGAGGTTCTAGTGTGTAAAGAGCTGTAGTGTAAATTTAACAGCTGTATTGTGACCAACTGTAAATAATATGTGAAGAAGCGATATGTGTGTAGAGGCTGTAGTGTGACTGTAAGGCTGTGAAGAGGCTGTAGTGTGACTATTTTAAGTGACTGTATACATAGACTTTTTAAAGAGATGTCATGTAGCTATGAGCCAAGAGGCTGGATGCACGACGGTTGTGTTAACAGGGCCCTATGCTGACAGACACAAGTTTGTACTTAAGGCCGTGCTCAAGGTGCCAAGGATACGCTGGAAGCAGTGCAGGCTGTACGGCAGCGTCGGGCTCCTGCACAGCTGGCCCTTGACCTGCACACAGCACTGCCCGGCTCGCACGGTCTCTGCCGACGCCGCTGGTGCCCTGTGCAGAGTTAGCAGAGAAAGAACTCCTGAAACTCGCATCTTTATGCCAGGACTGCATACGTCAACATTTTTCAATTGTATGAAATAAAGCAGACAGTGTGCGTTGTTCATTTCTGGGTCTTCGTATTAATATAACTTCATAGAGTACACTTTGGTTCCTTGAATACCTGTGTGCGAATGCATTCCAATTCCTTTTCAGCTTATCTTTGTGGTCATTTTGATTATCCGAACCGGTGTCAATGAAACAGTAAGGTAAGGGAACATTATCCACAAACGCAAAACGATTCCGCACGCACTCTTTCGAAGCAACGGGATGCGTCGCCGGCTGCTGGTGTGACGTTGCAGGCTGCTGGTGCGACGTCGCAGGCTGCGGGTGCAATGTCCCGGGCTGATGCGTCGCGGCGGGCTGCTTGTCCCGGCGCAGCAACACTGCCACGCCGTCCGGGCACAAGGCCGCCCCGCGCAACAAGGCACGGCTGTGAGCACGAAGGTGCCTCTGCCTTCGCGCCGCCGCTCGCTCCACGCGGCTCAGCTGCAAGTAGCGATGCCGCAGCGAGCTGTAGAGCGCCGCTATCCGCGTCTCACGGTCCGAGCCTGTGCACTCCGACCTGACGCCACGCCGGCCAAGCCAACAAGTGAGCGGACTGTAAAAATAACGTCACACCGTCGTCCCCTTCCAAGTTTCTATGACGAAATTATCTGGATCGTGCCCGATCATCACATTGGAGGCCAAGCAAGGATTGAACCTGAATGATACTCGTATGGCTAATTCCAAAGTCTAATTAGGTGTTGGGAGGATTCTGTTGAGCTACATTGTCAGCAGAGGCAAAAGAAGAAAAATAACATTGTCGTACTGTATTAAGCTCCAATGTCTATGTTCCTCACCTTTACCACACTGCATATGGGCAAATAACCCCTACGTCTAGGTCTGCAGAGGCCCTCCTCCAGCAGTGGATTGACAAATAGGGCTGTACAATCTTGTGCAGAAGCTTAAGACGCCCCTAATAAACAGGCATGCAGCTATTACGACGTTTACTGCGAGTACCAATATACAATGTTTTGGCTGATAACTTATAACTTGCAACAGAGATAGAGAGTGCAAATATTGAACACTCTTGCAGTCAAGCAGCACTCCGTATAAACCACAATTAACACCAAAGCAGCAGATAAAAACAAGACTTCCAGTTTAAAGATTAACACGAGAACTAAAAGACCTTTCATGGATTATATGCACCTAAGCAGTGGGTTTCCTGTTGTCAAAAACAAACATGAAGCTTTATTTAAAAAAGGACTTCAAAATCTCAATCAGTCACACAACTAAGTTTTCTGCAGTGATAGCATCACAATATATCTAGTGATGTCAGCTGCATAACTAAAGTGATTCCAACTGTGATTTAGATGTTTTTCAGAACAAAATGGGCGAGTCTAGGTATAATTCAGTAGGCTCACGTGACATTGACTTCTCCAAGACAGAGGTTCTTTGCAAGCCATCTGGCTACCATGAGAGATTCGTTAATGAGGCTATCCACATATACAATCACAGAGACAATTTCAACCGAGAAGATGGATTCTGGCTTAGCAATCATTGGAAGGATTTGATAAACCATTTCGGGTCTTAATTGATTGTTCACGCTTACGGTGGCTTTCAGATCGCATCCATTATTTTCGTCTCCCCCCTCCTCTTTTCCGAACATAGATGGACTCGTCCACCTGAATAACTGAAAAATCGCTCTCTGTGGTGCTAATGTAAAAAACGCCACTTTTTTCCAATTTTCTTTCTGTGGTTTTCACACCTGATGATTGCTTGTGTTGCAGTCGAAACGTCGTTGATAATTTTATTGTTTTATATTTTTATTATTTTGTTTCCCTTCTACGTGACTTTACCGAAAGAACCAAAAATATGAGTCTAGGTATGCATCTAGTTTTGTTTTGTGTTGCATCTTCCTTGAACAAAGTGTGTAAGGCTCTAGAAATATTGGGCTCTCGTTATTTACAGATTTTTTTGCTTTATGTCCTGAATGTTATCCTGATTGTCCTGTCAGTGTTATGAGACAAAGTAACTATTTGGACCTCACACAGAGCAGTGCAACCCTTCTTCGTACAGATCTGCCCTAAGAAGCAGACATCACAGAGCCATCTCTGAGATCACTTCAAGTGATCTCTGTTGCATAAAACGGGGCAGCACTTTCACACCGGCCCTGTTACAATGTTAATGGCATTACTGTCAAACAGATCATTTTTCTCAGAGATGGAATTGAACCAAATCAAGTGCAGAACCAAACGTGATGTTAGGGTCTTGATTTGAAGCTTTCGTGACTGCAGGAATCCATACTCTTTGGTACTTTTGGTAAAGTCACGTAGATATAAAATGAATAAATCACGACGTTTCAATCGCAACACAAGCAACTGTCATCAGGTGAGACAAACACGGCAGGAGAACTGCCGACGCAGGAGAAAGAGCTGTGTTTGTCTCACCTGATGACAGTTGCTTGTGTTGCGATCGAAACGTCGTGATCTATTATGTTTCTATCTACGTGACTTTAACCGAAAGATCCAAAGAGTTAGGGGTTGTTTGTGCGGTTATTGATGTTCGGGTTAACATCAACTCACTACACTTTGAGAAAACAGTTTAGACACAGATGGCTGTCTGGATTTGAATCCCATCATCTCAGCGGTGACAGCTCAGCACTCTGACCTGTGTGACTTGGGCTTTGTACGTTATCAGGATGAATTGCACCTTGAGAAGCTTGTGGCAAGTTGCCTTTGTTTAAAAGGCCACACAATGACCACTTGGCCGGTAGTAGTGTACACATTGCTCTCTCCGTGTTTAGTTTATTGTCCTTCCTCCGCACCTCCGATTAGCACGGTTGGCTATGTACGGTGCGAAAGTTCAACATACATACAAGGAACTTGGAACGTGTATGTATGTGGTCTGTAATGCGAGCAAGCTGAATGACATTGGTTTACCTGTAGAGGACTCCATGTTCACCGAGCCGGTCTTGGTGGGATAGCCACGTTGATTGACAAGGAAGTACCTTATCCTCATCTTCACTGCTTTCATCCTCTGACCAATCACAGCCTGCATGTGAATTCATCATAAAATGGGTTAACCCATAAGGGTGTGAACACGAAGTGTACAGTGTATCTATACTTAACAAATAAATCAGTCTTAAATGGCAACTATCAAGTAGCCCATGTTCCTCCTTGCCAACAATGGCTATGATCATCATCCTTTTGACCCGATTGTAAAGCGATTCAGTAGCGTCCATAGGCTATTAAGTCAATGACGAAAGTATCCATAAACAGTTAATTCACGGCACAAAATTGGCAAAGCTGAACCGTAAATGGAAATCATTGACGTTTTCCAAAGAAAGTAATTGTATAATTTTCAAGCGTAAACGTCAATCAATTGAAAGTGGTCAATGATGATGAATGATGCATGCTGCATCAGTCAAAGCATGAAGGGGGGGGGGGTACCCCCTAAAAAAAAAACACTCCTGAAGCGTAAACATTGAACAGCATGGGAAGCAGTGCTCGCCTGTTAGCGGTGTCCCCATCCTGGCAATTAATTAACTCCTGTAACGCTGGATCGTGCATTCCCGACATGGTTTGTGATTTCATGGTTCCAGTGATGCTTTGTTAATATTTTTACTTAGCTTTTATATGTGCTCTATAAATAAAAAAGCACCATAATATTACAAGGTGCAAACAGTCTAAAAGTAGTCTTCATGGAATTAATGGGGTTTTGTTTAGAAAACTGCTACAAAGTACCGTGGACATCCCACTTCCCTGAATTTGCCCCGGTATTGAAAACCGTGTAGCCTCACTTTTGTTCCTGCATTTGACCACAAATTTGAATTAATTTTGTGGGGTTCTTGCTTGTAGTTGGACCACAGTCCGAGTGGAGGGGGACAATGAAACCTTCTGACGTACCTCGACTGTTTTCCATAGCGACAGAGCCTATGGGCAGAACAGGGTGCCAACCTATGTGTGTGCCTGTCTCCTGCCCTTCAGACATCCTTTGCTTCTAAAAAGGCATGTTCTCAGAGATTGCCACACCACCAAACTCGAGCTGAGCTCATGGCCAAAAACTCAAAAGTGCTGGAATTTGCTTTACTTGACTCTAAGTTGAGCCCAATGAGTCACTATTATTTATTTTGCAATGAAGAGGTGGAAAAAAGTATCATATCCCTGAAGACTCTTTTATTATTCTTATTTAATATCAGGTGAGGTAGAATGATGGCACAGTGGTTCAAGCACTGCACTATAAACTCAGTGACCAGAGTAAAATTTCCAGCCATAATCTAGTGATATCTGAACTAGTCCTGGGCCCCAATTCCATAAAGCCAAGCTAAACAGCTTGATGTCTGGTAAAAAAAAAACAATGAACACATATCAGAAAGTGGGGAGGTTTTCATCCGGCAGTATATTGACAAAGGCTGCAGATTATTATTTTATTAATGAGGTGTAGTGCAAACAAACACCTTCTCCCCATACCTAAGTGTGTGAACAGGTCTTGATCGAGCAGCTTCCGCTGTCTGCTCCGGTACAGCAACCGGCGCAGTGCTCGGCTTCTCTCACAATCCGGTTGGGTATGCCGTTGGGCCGCCCTGGCGGAGGTGTGCGACGAGGACGACGATGATGACGATGACGACGAGGCGCTAGCAGCGGCACCAGTGGTGGCTCCTCCCAACGCTTTGCCACCAGCCACCCGTGACTCTGGGGGCGTGGGTGGTACAAGCCCCCTCTGTACCGCCGTTGTGGTGCCCACAGGAGTCCTCGACAAACAGCGCTCCCCATGCCGGTGTACCATTGGCGGGGGCTGGGCCGACCTCAAGGACGCGGCGGCACCATGAGCCTCAGCTTTCGTCGGAGGCGGCGTCCCCTTGTGTGGCTTCAGGTGACCCGGTGAAGAGGCCGAGGTATTTATGATCGCACCACTGCCGCAAATGTCCTTGACCTCGCCGTTTTTTTCGGCCACAAGTCTCGAGCGACTCCCGCCGCCGCTAGTGCCGATCGGCGGCCTTCCCTGGAGCTTGCGCTTCACGGCGACCTTTCGGAGGCCATGCTCGTCGTCTTCGGGAAAGGCGAAGGGGTCATCCGTCGGGGCGCCAGCTGTGGCTGGCGCCATATGAGGGTGGTGGTGCGGGGATTGGCTAAGCGTCTGCCACGCCGGCGTGAGCGCGTGCAAGCCGTTTGGCACCCGCGTGAGCACCGGCGGGGCCTCGAGCTCGGCGATGTGCTGCACCACGCGCTCGCGCTGCCGCTCCCTCGGCTCGTCCAGCTGCTCCGACTTTTTCTTCCGCTCCTTCTTAGGCACCAGCCCCAGAACCTGCAGGTGACTGTTGCAGTACCTGAATGAAATACAGTTGCGTGCACACAGCAGCTTTTTTATGACGCCAAGTAGGTATGAGCCTGGATAGTACTGGTATGGGAGTATGCCAGAGGATACCACGTGCTGTAGGGTTGGGCTGCCAGTTGGGGAGGAGATAAGAAAACAATGATGAATTGAATCTAACCGTGTGGAGCTTGGAGTGTTATCCCCTTGAATTATTGGGTTTCCTCTGGATAACCCAGTTTCCCCCCACACAGCGAACACAGATTTATTGAATGAGTCAAACATCCCAATGGAGGACTGCCCGAAAGAACATTACAAGCTCTCCTGGATACATTGTCTTAGTTAAACTTAACATAGATTTTAATCAAGATTTGTTTTAACTTGCATTCGGTTTCAAAATAAAAATATATTGAATGAAAACATTGCACTTGCTACTTTTATAAACCAGTGCATCCCGCCTACAAAACACGCACAGAACCTCAAGCCTGATAATTTCCTTGATAAACATGTACATCATCAAGATTATGTTCAAAGTATTGGACCAGCAAAAATTAAGCCAGTGTTCACAAATCTTTGTTTTCACCCAAAATGTGTCACGCATCAACAAAACTACCTACAAATAAAAGCGTTCTATGCTAAACCAACATTCAGAATTTCCAGCAAGCACAAAGTGAATGCAGAGTTCAAATGCAGGGACTCACACGCGATCCTCCGCTTTAGGGATGGGGTTGGTACAGCGCTGGTTGTTGTACTTGGCCACATATTGGCACTGCTTAAAGGGGGCCGTCTTGTCCTCCAGGACGTGACGGATACAGAAAGCGTAGCCATTCAGCCGGCGCTGCTTGCAGAGCTTGGGGCTGTACGAGCACAGCGGCTTGTTGTCGATCTCCGAGAAGTGGATGTGTTTGCCCTCATACATCACGCGTTCCGGCTTCCCACGATCATCGGCTGCAAAGACATCACAACCATCAACACCATCATCACCACCACCATTCATAGAGGTGTAACCGATTCACTCTGTACCTACCATTCACTTCCCCAGCAATTGAATTGTGATTCATGGTCTTATTCTTTTGCGGATTCCAACTAACGTTTAAAGTCTTTATGAATTATCTCTGTCCTTTGTAACGGGAGAGCACTAACTTCCGAAAAGATTAGTCAATATAAATGAAACTGCATGAAGTTGAATTACTATTCGGGACTTAACCTAATTTAAAAAATCTACAAAATCGAACAAAGTTTTCCCCAAACCTTGGAGACTCAAACATGGACTGACTAGTACCTGTTGGCATTCATCTGCTATTAAAATATGTCCATGGACGAAGCGTTATACAATCAATGTATGCGTGATTTTTCCAAACTTGTTTAAGCAGGTCACATAAACACATACATTTACAAATAAAAAATATATTACATTGTTATACAAACAACTTGAAATGTGCATCATAACCTTAAGAGATTTTATATATATGTCGATGCATTGTTACCGCAATCATTGTCATTGTGCGTTGTATGCAACATTTTGCCTTAATTAGAATTTTGGATGGAACCGTTCCCCAACTAGCAACAGGAAGACGGAATTTCGACCAATCAAGTCCCTCCCCAGGGTTACCACATTATTTTCAGTTACACCAATTGTTGGTAACTATTCCAATGTGTCAAGGACACTGTTACACAATTAAACACACTTGAAACTGTTCCAATGGAATACGGACGTATATTATCGCAGAGTGCATTTATTTGTTTCTAATATAGGAAGAAATATCCGAGTTCGAATGAATTCAAACTGATGAACCCTAAACCGGTGTACAAAGTAACGTACAACCACACAATACTATCATATATTTACGTTTATGAAATTAAAATACACGCAGCAGCGATTAAGTTTTATATGTTATATTTAGTAAGTCTAAAACAAAGGAAAGCATTCTCAAGTTGACAATATTATCTGCACATAATATTTATATCTCACATCCTGTACCTGGACATTGCTCTATTGTTTAAAAACAAGAGTAAAATGTGAAAGTACAGCAATGTTACGTGAATTACTGACAAACGTCAGAAATAAATTAGTGCGGTGCTGTTTCAACACAATAAAAAATCTACTTCTATGTTTCCAATTGACTTCATTACACGTGGGTGCAAATGGTATCTGGAAGCCTTAAAAATTGGGCTACGTTTTAATGACGAAAAGGGTAAAAGAATCATCATATAAACTAAACAGCCGCCGGTTGACACTTGTATACAATTTTAAATAGCCAATTAATACAAGAGTGGTTTAGTCACAAATACATGGAGCTTATGGCTCACTCCTCGTCATTGCGCTTGTCATTATAGTAATTAATAACACAGGGGATGTGTGATTAAGTGTGTCAAGGCCCAATATTTCAATAGCAATTCGGAATGTTTTTGTAACGAGTGACCACAATATGCACGGCCGCATGTAATAGTGCGGGCGGTATTATTAATCGTATAAACAGCCGATAATTAACAACGCACCTATTAAGGCTTGAAGCACACGTAAACGTACACAAAACATAAATGTACACAACGCGTTAAGATCCATAACAACCCCCAACAACATCCCGACTGACTCTCATTCAGCACCGCTCTCTCGTGTAAACTCGCACGGAACCGCGCCACACATATCGGCGGAGCTGCAACCACACGAACCCAACGTAAAATACAATTGTTGAAGCACAACCAGACATTTCTAAACCATGAGATATTTGGCTAGGCAGGCACAGGTGATCAGGCAGGCGGGCCCTCGGCTATTTTTAATCGAGAGGCGCCTCCGAATCCAACGGGAGTCGGGTGTGCGAGCGACTCGTTTAGCACCCCCCCCCCCCCCCCGGGTGCTGCTGTTGGTGCCGGGGACACGGGACGAGGTTGAGACAAACAAAGGCGAGGACGAGAGAAAGAGAGACGAGGGCATCACCAGAAGCGCGGGCTCCCGTCCCATCACCACTCGAGCCCCGAGGAGACGCAGCCACTACAAACCCCCACAAGCGCTAGGCCCGAGTTGCTAGGCTGAACAAAAAAATTAACAAACCGCGCAACGCCCCCGGGGCGTCTCGCGATAGCGAAACGCTCGCACGCTGAGTGTTAAGGGCGAGCAACAGGAAACGAATTTTTCCCTCAGAGCGTTGTCGATTTCCGAAACGACAAAAAAAAATCGCCTCACCCCCTCCTCCCTCCTCCCTCATCCCCCGCGGCCCGTGTGGCTCAGGGGGCCTGGTCACAATGTAGAAGCCTGCGACCTTGCCTAGCGCTGCGACCCGAAGAGTCCCGCGCAAGCTCGCAAGGAAACGTCGAACGCTTCGGCCTAAATAGTCACCTACAACCCCCGCACGAACCCACCCACTCACCCCCGCCTAATCGCGGCCGTTAAACCGCGGGCTCCCGCAGCCTGGGGCTCGGAGTCGAAACCTCCCCACCCCCACGGTTTTAGCGCCGCGGCGGCCCGGGCAAACTCTTAGCGAGGCCGCAGACCCGAATGGTAGCCCCCCCCCCTCGCCTCCACCACCAACTCCCGCGCGAAGCCTACAACAAATGATGCCTACGGCCTTGTCTAGCATCCAAGGCCGGACGAACTCCGCCTACGTCGCTAGGCAACACGATAGGTCGCGGCCTAGAGTCGCCACCCCCGCCGTCCTTCTCTATAATATTTTGTGTTTGTTACATTAGTGATACATTAGTGATTACCCGGTTTTAACCCACATACATACATCCCCACCACCCTCCCTTCCCACCCCCCCCCCCCAAAAAACAAAAAAACGTCCCCCCCCCATTAAAACGAGCACGTGAAACGCATTTTTTCCTTCTTTTTAAACCTTTAGTTTCGCGAAAAGCATTGTCTTAAAAAAAAATCTACCTCGACGTTGGTGTTTTTTGTTCGCCGTTCCTATTGGGGGGGGGGGGGGGTCGGGGGGGGGGGGGGGGGGGGGTTGGGGGGGGGCGGGTGGGGGGGGGCTGGGGGGGGTTACCTCCTCGACGCGTCGGGCTCCGCGGGGCCTCGCCTCAGCCGTGAGAGCGGCGAACGGCCGACGAGGCGGGCAACATCGAGGATTCGGTGCGATTCTTGCCCGCGCACCCGCGCGCGTGCGTGTGTTTGCGTGTTTGTTTGTGACCGGAACGCGTGGGGTTTTGTCGTGTAATATATTTATATATTTAAATCACGAATTCTCTTCCCTTGCGGGTTCCGCCGCCTCGGCCCTCCGCTGTCTGCCGTCTTCGGCTGTTGCCAGATCCAGGGGATAAAAAAACCTCTAAAATAGGAGGCACGAACGAGTGTGTTTTGTAATTTTATGATGTAAACTTGCGATATTTTGGCCAAAAATTGTTTAGATTTTGTATGCAAATACGGAAAAAAATGTAAGTGCAAAGAGTCAATGAATAAATTGCAATTGACAGCGATGTTTTAAAGCTGGGCAGGGAAGCCCTGATATTAAAACGCTTAGGACTAAATTTTGATTTAAAGCTTTCGTGACTGCAGGGATTCATATTCTTGGTTCTTTCGGTAAAGTCACCACGTAGAAGGGAAACAATAAAATAATAAAAATATATAAAACAATAAAATTCTCACGACGTTTCGACTGCAACACAAGCAATCATCATCAGGTGTGAAAACCACAGCAAGAAAATTTGCTGTGGTTTTCATAATTTTATTGCTTTAATTTTTTATTATTTTATTGTTTCCCTTCTGCGTGACTTTACCGAAAGAACCAATAATACGCTTTGGACTAGTTTATAAATAATCCACTTGTAAACTTCGTGATTAAAATTTTGAGCACAAAATCATACACCTTTACGTCCACGGGCCAAATGCCGTATTTTTCGTCTTGCAAAACTGTCTCAACACTTTCATTAAAGCACTGTAATTGAAAAGATAACGATGACGAAAAACAAATCAAAGTGCATCCATCCACACGGAGGTGCTTGATAATACAAAGACAACAACCATCTGTTGTAGTTCGCCAAACGGTATGCACTCCCATGAAATAATAGGTCCCGCGTTGCCTCGGGAATCGAACACTTTTCCACCACTCTTTATTGCATACCTGTCAACCCACGCGGTTTAGCACCTTATTCTTTTACAGGGAAATTGAGAGATGCCAGGTCCATATGGCGAACAGCCGTTTCAATACGGGCAACATTTGTTTTTGTCTTTATTCGTGTTTCTCTCCTGTGATGGGACTTTGTAGGATGAACGTTGTGATTTATAAGGGTATACGGGGTGACCAATTAGGTCTCAATTGGTTCTGTAATAAGGCAGGGCACTGATAAAGGGTTGACAGGTATGAGTACACACACACAACTATTAGGTAATGAAAAACATATTTTTGTTTGTGTTTCTCTCCTGTGATGGGACTTTGTAGGATGAACGTTGTGATTTATAAGGGTATACGGGGTGACCAATTAGGTCTCAATTGGTTCTGTAATAAGGTAGGGCACTGATAAAGGGTTGACAGGTATGAGTACACACACAAAACTATTAGGTAATGAAAAACATTTTTGTTTGTGTTTCTCTCCTGTGATGGGACTTTGTAGGATGAACGTTGTGATTTATAAGGGTATACGGGGTGACCAATTAGGTCTCAATTGGTTCTGTAATAAGGTAGGGCACTGATAAAGGGTTGACAGGTATGAGTACACAAAACTATTAGGTAATGAAAAACATATTTTTGTTTGTGTTTTTCCCCTGTGATGGGACTTTGTAGGATGAACGTTGTGATTTATAAGGGTATACGGGGTGACCAATAAAGTCTGAATTGGTCTGTAATAAGGTAGGGCACTGATAAGGGGTTGACAGGTTTGAATACACACATAAAACTATTAGGTAATAAAAAAAACAAGATTTTTTTGTGTTTCTCCTTTGTGATGGGCCTTTGTTGGATGAACGTTGAGATTTATAAGGGCACGGGGTGACCAATAAAGTCTGAATTGGTCTGTAATAAGGTAGGACACTGATAAGGGGTTGACAGGTTTGTTATTGGATTTCGTGGGGACCCTCATGGTGGACTCAGAGAGACAATGTAGGACGTATATATGTTGAACCTCTTTCACACCGTACGTAGCCAACTGTGCTAACAAAGTAAAACACAAAAAGCAGTTCCAAAGGAAAGAGTTTTCAATCGAGATTTAAAAGTGCATAGGGGCCGTCCATAAATTACGTCACGCACCTATGGGGGGGGGGTCAGACATTTGTGACGATGTGTGACGGGGGGTGGGGTTTGAGAAATGTGACGTCACATCAAAATGCGCAACTTTAAATAAATATAGACAACACGTTCTACTTCATTAAATAGACTTTTTAATAAATGTTTTCTCCTACAACATCAGAGTGCAACGCCACATTAAATACGCACTACAATGACAATAGTTTAAAGCGATTTGAAGCATGTTTTATTTTTTTGGGGGGGGCAGAGCTTTGTGACGTCATATTTGATGGGGGGGGGGGGGTCTGACTTTTTGTGACGTCGTGTGACGAAGGGGGGGGGGGATCAAAAATCGTCAAAAATAGCATGACGAACATTTATAGACGGCCCCATAGGCTCCAGTGGCTTCTTAATATCGGAAGGAATAGCGTTCCAGACGGCCGCATAAATACTGGAATATTAATGATATTTATAATTTTAATCTGTAATATATTTAAGACTGTAATCTTAATCCCGTTGTCAACCCGATGATGGACGTATAAGTCATGGGAATTGAAAGCTCAAGGCTGCTTAGCTTTAGAGGCAGAATATGATTATTTGATCGTATGCAAACCACGCCTGGCTCCATCTCCGTTTTCGATGGAGGGTCAGTGTCGCTTGTTGTATGGTGCCACCGTCACGGTGATATACGGTACTTGCTAAGGAGAGTGAACTTGGGTTGGCCAATGATGCGGGGCCTACTCCAGCAGCCCCCTAGTGCCCACTCAGAAGCAAGCCCTCAATGGATAAAGGAAGGGCATTTCATTCCAGTTCTTCACACTGATAGTGAACTCGGATACAAACATTGATTGCAGTCAAATGTGCTTAACACTCATGCGAATTCAACAAGACGCAACAGTGAACATAATATGTTGCATGGAAACAATAAAATATGGTCGAAACGTCGTGAGAATTTTTATTGTTATATATATTTTATTATTTTATTGTTTCCCTTCAACGTGACTTTACCGAAAGAGCTAAGAATATGAATTACTGCAGTCACGAAAGCTTTAAATCAAAATTTAATATGTTGCGTTAGATTAACCATGGCAAAATTAAGGCAGATCGTTTTAATCATAATGCTTTCAAAGAGTAATGGATTCTGACCGACCAAAACTATATATCGTCACCATGGTTGACACACTTGTGGTGCCACGACCGTGGAGCAACTCCGCAAGCTCTGCAACTCCCTCCCGGCCCCTGTACTAAACAAACACTCACATGCAGCGCACACACGTAGTGTCCTGGCGGGGGATTGCCTGGCACAACGAGTTTTCATCCGAAGGGCCCCTAGAGGGGAAGTCCTACGGTTTCCCGGTGCCAGGAGATTGGCCGGTCCCTCCATGACAAATGACATTGCGACCCCCTAAATTGGCTTAAAATTGTATGGCTGCACCGAAGCTCACCGGGCTAACCGCAATGAGACACAGCAGGGTGCAATATTACTCGAGCAGCGCAGACGAGGAGGTGGGAGGGAAACCCCTGGGCACCCCGCGGATGTGTATTCGGCCGCCACCGCTCAGGGCAGACCGGCTGAGTCAGGGGTAAGGAATGCGGGCGCGGAGACAATGGATGGGGGGGGGGATAGCGTGACAATGCCCTAGGTAATGGGCACGAACTTTTTGAAAATTGCAGGATGACGTCACGTAACCCTGGATTTTCGAAATCCTAGGGAATAAAAAGGGGGAGCCGAAAACGGTTAAGTTAGTTCTGATCTCCAGCCTCTTTAAGCCGCCTGCAGCGTCCGTGAGACGCCACCGAGTACCGCCAAGGGAAAAGTCTCTCCCGTCTTCGTCCCTCCGCCTCTCTCCGCGTCCGTTCGACGTCGTGAGAACGGCTGCGAGGTAATTAAAAAGGGCTCGTTAATACATTATGAGACCTCCTTTGCCAGAATCAAGATATAGGAATAGGTTTTACCCTTTTAATTGACGTCTTCTGGTCCAACACCAATGGAGACTAGGCTCTAAGAAAAGCTGTCTCGGGTGTGGACCAATCAAATTCAAGGACAGTGCATATTATTATCAGAGTTGTCTTTTTTGTTTGCATTTTGACTGCTTGTGTTGTGGTTATTGCAAACATGATGCCTTGAATAAAGGTGTCAGTTTTTGTGCCAGTTTTAAGGGTAAAACCTATTCCTATGGCTCGTTAATATTTGGGGAATTTGATCGTGATAGGATAGGCTCTGCTCGCAGAATATTTCCTCCGGGCAGTGCAGGGTTTTTACGCGCCGTGAATAAACGTTAGCACAGATTATCGGTGCTCACGCGTCCGTGCAGCCGTGCCGCGCGAGTATTAAGAGCAGGGGTGAGTTAAAACCGTTCGCCGACGTGCGCGCGTCTTTACGCGCGAGCATGTGTTAAATTAATCGCCTGCAGGTGCGCCCGCGTTGGCGCTGCTGCTTGAGAGCGCGTCTTAACGCGGGTGCGGGGTAGCGCATAAACACCCGCCAGCGCGCATATTAGCCTAGCCGTTTTACGCCGGCCTTTGTGTGGACGCGGTGTGGGATGCAACCGTCCACCGACGCGCGCGTGTTCCGTGCAGCCGCTTTAGCGCTAGTCTTTGTGCGTGAACGGATTTAGTATATAACCGGCCGCAGGCGCGCGCGTATTTACGCCGCCGCTGTGGTGGGGCGTGCGCATAGTCGAGGATAATCACCAGCAGGAGCGCGCGCGTGCTCGCCGCCGCGTGAGCATTAGGGGGTGGTGTGCACGGGCTTGTGTGGAGTAACCCCGTGCGGCGGTGAGCCGGCCCATTCAGCCATGTTTTGACTTCAAACTTTCGTGATTGCAGGAATTTATATTCTTGGTTCTTTCGGTAAAGTCACATAGGTAAAAAAAATAGATAATAAAATAAAATAAAAAAAATTGAAATAAAAATCATAAATTGAAAATAATAAAAGCAAAAAAACCACGACGTTTTAGATCGCAACACAAGTGGTCTTCGTCAGGCGGAGAGAAAAGAGGGAGCAAGCCTCCAAATGCAACTGCTTATAAGGGCTTTCAAAGTGAATGGGCGGGATAGCCAGCGCAAATGTAGGAGACAATGGGGGGAGGGAGAGGGGGGTAGAGATAGGAGGAGAGAGAGGGGGTAAAAGTAGTGCGTTAGACAATGGAGGGAGAGGGCAGAGACAGGGGAAAAGAGAGGGGGGAGGTAGAGATAGAGGTGGAGCTGAAAGGAGAGGGTGCAGTCCAAGTCTGTTAGACAATGGGGGGAAGAAGGAGGGTAGAGATAGGGGGGAGAGAGGGGGGGTAGAGATAGGGGGAGAGAGGGGGTACAAGTAGTGCGTTCGATAGTGGGGGGAGGGAGGGGCAGCAAAATTGCAATTAAACTTTCATCAC